CCCGGCCAGCATCATGAGCATGCGTGCGTGCGCGCGCCCCGTGCCGCTCGGTCGCTCAGCGATAGCCATGCAGGCCACTTCTGAAATCCAGCTAGGTCGAGCGTTTTGTGTTTTCATGTGGTTCACCGTCGCAGCCACCGACAGGAGCGAGAGAGAGAGAGAGAGAGAGAGAGAGGCAGAGAGAGAGAGAGAGAGACAGAGACAGGGAGAGAGAGAAAAAGAGAAAAAGAGAGAAAAAGAGAGAGAGANNTGGGGAAGAAGAAGAAGAGAGAGACAGAGAGGGAGGGAGGGAGGGAGGGAGGGAGGGAGGGAGACGGAGCGAAGCAGAGCGACTGAAACGAACCCTCGCTTGGCTCACATTCGCCTGAGGTTGGGGATTAGTTTTATTATGCTAGGGCATGGGATTTGGGAATTGACTAGTCCCGCACTGTACAACGGCAGAAACATTGCGCTTCTTGGACTCTGTAGGAGGACTTTGAGGGCCACCTGGGCGGCGATCTCTTCGAAGACAACGATGACGAGGTGCGGGTGTCCTGGCTTGGGGCGGATTTTCTGGGTTTAAGTTTGGGTTCCCTGGGACATTTCGGTGCGGGTTGTTTGCAGAACGCGACGTGTGTGGAGACGAGCCAAGCTAGAACTTTGACTTGAGTGTGAGCGTTTGCTGCGGATGTTCAGGTCCCAAGCGCAGCCCAACGTCAACCACACTTAGCCACACTTTCCCTCCCGGCAGCGGGTCCAGGAGACGCCCGCGCCGCTGCCTGCGCAGCCTGCCGTGCCTTGCATCGAAATGGCTTAGCCCAGAACCCGCTAGGTCCTTGGTCACTTTAGGATTTAAGGTTTAAGGGGGGGGGGGGTCGTATAATACTCTTTAGGATTTATAGGGGTTTTAAAGATTATGTTAATACTAAGACTAGTGTTTGAGGTTTATTTTCAGCAGCTTTACATGTGATTTTTTATTAAGGACAAGGCTATGGTTGTTTTGGGTTGTAGGGTGTACAAGGCTTGGGCCTTCGGCCATGGGGACCTTGTAGTTGTCAAAGTGCAGAATACAATTGTACAAAGCCCACTCAACCCTGCCGACTAACTTTGGCAACTGCTCGTAGGATGACGACCCAGAATCAAAGCCCCCCCTCTCACAACTCACTCCGACCATTTCTCTCGCAGGCATCGACTGCGATTATCGATGAGCCGAGGGCCGATAACTCAGCCCCGGGTTCTTGGCCATAGCAACAAGCCGGCTTTACAGTAGTTTAGTCTAGTAGTAGCAAGAGTAAGCAGCAGTAGTAGTAGTAGTAG